AGAGATAAGACCAGGGAACAGAAACAGACGCCCTCAGAAATAATACCACACATCTACAGCCATTCTGATCTTTGGACAAACCTGGAAAAACAAGAAAATGGGGAAAGGCATTCCCTATTTAATAAATGGGTGCTGGGATAATTTGGAGCTAGCCAGGAAGTAGTAAAAGCTGAAACTGGATCCTTTCCTTACTCCTTATGCGAAAATTAATTCAAGAGGATTAGAGAGCTTAAATGTTTAGACCTAATACCATAAAAACCCTAGAATGAAAACCTGGGTAATGCCATTCAGGACATAGCATGGGCAAGGACTTCATGTCTAAAACACAAAAAGCAACAGCAAACAAAGCCAAAATGGACAAATGGGATCTCATTTAAACTAAAGAGCTTCTGCACAGCAAAAGGAACTACCCATCAGAGTGAACAGGCAACCTACAGAATGGGAGAAAATTTTTGCAACCTACTCATCTGACAAAGGACTAATATCCAGAACCTACAAAGAGTTCAAACAAATTTACAAGAAAAAAAAAAACAACCCCATCAAAAAGTGGGCAAAGGATATGAACAGACATTTCTCAAAGTATGACATTCATACAAGCCAACAGACACATGAAAAAATGCTCATCATCAATGGCGCATCAGAGAAATGCAAATCAAACCACAATGGAGATACCATCTCACACCAGTTAGAATGGCAATCATTTAAAAAGTCAGGAGAACAACAGGTGCTGGAGAGGATGTGGAGAAATAGGAACACTTTTACAACTTTAGTGGGGACTGTAAAAACTAGGTTCAAACCATTATGGAAAAACAGTATGATGTTCCTCAAGGATCTAGAACTAGAAAGTACCATATGACCCAGGCATCCGCATTACTGGGTATATACCCAAAGGATTATAAATCATGATGCTAGTAAAGTACACATGCACACATTATGTCTACTGCGGTGCACTATTTTCCACATGGCAAGACGACCTGGAATCAACTCAAATGTCCTCAGTGACAGACTGATTAAAGAAATGTGGGCCAACCATACACACCATTGATATACTATGCAGCCATAAAAAGGATAGTTTGTTGCTCTTGTAGGGACATGGATGGCAGCTGGAAATCCATCATTCTTAGCAAACTAACTATCGCCACAGAACCAGAAAACTACAAACACCGCATGTTCTCACTCTCATCATGGTGTGGGAACTGAAAATGAGATCACTTGGACTCGGATAGGGGAATGGGGGACATCACAAGAAAGAAAGAAAGAAAGAAAGAAAGAAAGAAAGAAAGAAAGAAAGAAAGAAAGAAAGAAAGAAAGAAAGAAAGAGAAAATGTACAAAATAATTTAAGAAAATCTCTTTGGCTTAGAGAATAAACTACCTCTATAAATAAAGGTAATTTACCTCTATAAATTACCTCTATTTTATAAAAATATAAAGAGAGAAAAGGAGTAATGATAATGATGTTGAGAGAATGAATTATCCACTCAATATAATAAAACGGCCCACAATAAATGACAACTAGTTTACGTTGTTTTCCAGTAATGGTAAAACTCTTAATAATCCATCAATTTTACCTCACTCACTCTTCCTTATGTCCAACAGAATATATAATTCAAATACTTTTTAAGTTGGAAGCTATGTAAGATAGAATTATATAGTCTGCAGTTCTAGAAATAAATAAATTGGTCTACTTTGAACCAAAAGTAATGATTTTGGTATCACTGGTACTGACTAAGCTCTAATCAGAATGATTTTAATCACAATAAATAGCAGAAATCAACTGATGCAGAGACATTAAATATAAGACTGAAGATTTAATATCTGATCTAATAAGCAATTAGGAATCACTATGTTTCTTAGCTATCATGCTCTCAAAGTGATAATCATGACGGATTAGAAAGGAAAAACTTAGAGACAGTAATCTAGACACAAGAAAATAAACAGCTAGATTAGAACAGAACAAGCAAATAACTAGAATAGGTAAGAGGTAGTGGGGAAAGGAAGAAAAAGGAACATATTTTAAGAACACGAGAGCTTAATTTACAACAGGGGTTGGCAAACTACAGCATGCAGCCAAATATGGCTGCCTGTTTTTGCAAATAAAGTTTTATTGGAAAACAGCTATGCCCATTAGTTCTTGTACTGTCTATGGCTGCTTCACACTATAGTGGCAGAGCTGAATAGTTACAACAGCAACTACATGGCCCACTAAAGCTAAATAATTTGCCACCTGGCCTATATTCGTTTCCATTCATTATAGGATTGCCATAATAAAGTACCATAAATTGGATGGCTTACAACAATAGAAATTTATTCTCTTACAGATCTGCAGGTTAGAAAGAAGTTCAAAATCAGAGTGTCCACAGAATCATGCTCTCTCAAAGGCTCTAGGGGAGAAGCTGTTCCATGCCTTTCTTTTAGCTTTGGTGTTGGCAGCAATCTTAGCATTCCTTGATGTGCAGTTGCATAAAGCTAATCTCTGCCTCCGCTGTCACAGGGTCATTTTCTCTCCTGTTCTGTGAATCCATATGGTGTTCTCCTCTCTTAGCAGAGCACCAGTTATATCGAATTAAGGGCCCACCCAACTCCGGTATGACTTTATCTTACCTACATCTGCAATGACCCTATTTCTAAATAAGGTCACATTCTGAGGTGCTGGGGTTTAGGACTTCAACATATGTTTTTAGAGAACACATTTCAACCCATATTTTGGCCCTTTACAGAAAAAGTCTGCCAACATCTACTTCAGAAGAAGAATCGAGAAATAGGTCCAGAGGTGCAACTGAACAATGAGAGATTAAAATAGCAAAACTGGGATTTTGTTTTACACATACTAAGCTTAAAGCAACAGTAAGAGCCCTCTAAAAACAGGCAGAAAGCAAAAGGTCAGGAATCTGTACTGGCTTAGAGATAGAGGAATCGGGACAACTGAAAATGGATGGTCATTCTCAGATAAACGTTTTGTATAGCAAGCCAAGAACTGATCTTTAGAGAATGTCTCCGTTAGATAACAATGTTACTAGAGACTGTCACTGTTATATCACAAGATAATAATGTAGAAAAATGTAATTTAGTATTATATAATCTGAAAGAGAAGCAATTCAACAGTGACAAATCCAACAAAGGGACTGAAGAGACCTGAAAAACGACCAGGGCATTTGGTTAGAATGAGACAACACTCAAAGAAGACAACTTTTAGGGAGAAACTAAGGCAGAAACCAGGCCAGTAGGGGAAATGGGAATGCTGAAAAACTAAAGACAGTAGGTACAGTAAATTACCACCTTGGTGGTCTCCAATGAATCACATTTCCTGGTTATCTACATCTTTGTAGAATCTTCTTTCACACAGACTCTGAGCTTAGCCAAATGACTTGTTTTGGCCAATATATTAGCAACAATTGGCAAGCAGAGGCATGATAAACACTTGCACATGGAAACTTGCCTTCTTAGAACACTAGCTGCATGCTGTAATAAAGTTTGGGCTAGGCTCCTGAATGATGAGAGGTAACATAGAAAGAGATTATGCAGAATAAGAGGCTGTCTTAGATACTCCACCCCAACAGAGCTCCCAAGAGAATGCACCTTCCATCGTGACCTCAGCCCATATCTAAGGGAACAGAAAAACTGCCCAGCTCAGCCCAGTGATCCCAAAGAATCAGGAGAAATAATAAACTGTTTTCATTTTAAGCCACTACATTTGGAGTGGTTTGTAAAGCAACAATAGATAAAACACAGTCAGAATAGGATACATATTTGAGAAATACAATAACATGAGACTGAAAATTTTTATAAAACTGGGTAGACTTATATCTAAATGGGGAGAAAAACAGAAAAATCATGTAAATGTTTATAAAGGGTAAAATTAACATGTAAAAAGAAAAACTAAAGATGTTGAAGAATAACGCAATGAGCCACATGAGGAAAGAGAAAATTGAAGACTAGAAACAGAAATGCAGTCATTCTGTTGTAAGACAATAGCAGGGAAAACATTTTTCCACCTACTTCATCACTTTCCTCTACTTCAATTCCACCATCTTTGTCATCATCCATTTGTTTATGTATTGTTTGAAGAGCTTCCAGACTAAATCTGTCTTCTTCTGTAAAGCATGGTGGACTCAGTGACATGCAAGGATCTGAAAGAGAACAAAGGGCAATTACTAACTTGACACGCCAAAACAAAGGCTATAGTTGAGAGTATAATTTAAAAGAAAACCAACAGAACTAAACTTCAGACTAAGTTAAACGAAGAGACTTCAAAACGTCTAGCAGAATATTCTTCACATCAAAAGTATAATATATGAACACAACTGACTAAAAATAAATAATCCAATTTAATTAACATTAGGCAACTACAACCAGGAGTTATGCCAGTACTCACTTCAGGTTATCTAAAATCTCTACATCTTTAACCATTTCTTCTTATCCAACCTGAATATTTATTAATCATGATTTACTAATCATTGCCCCCACCAAAAAAACAGATGCTCTCCCTCCATTAAAAAAACAAGAAACACTAAAAATCACAGAATACAAAGTGCTATTTTTGCACAATCCAGTTTAATCAAAATGAGTCCTAGAAAATATCACCAAAAAAAAAGGAATGGAAATGTAGAATAGTCACATGACCCTTTTGTTTTCATTTTTCTATTTAAGATAATCTAACAGTCTACCCATATAGCTTTTTTCAAAATACATACGTTCCTAGGTTCAACTACGACAACAACAAACAAAAGAAAAAGACTAACTAGATTTTTAAAACTCTTGTTCTTCATGTTATCTTTAATATACACTTACTGGTCAACCCTTTCCCTATGGAGTATATGTGAATCCTCACATTCGGGTTGTCAAAAATTAAGTTGGAAAGCATGAAACATTTTTCAATGGCTTAAAATCAGACTGCTGGAAATTACTTCCTGTGCACGTAACTAGCAAACAACCTATACACCAAAATGAGAAAGTATTGCCAAAGCTTCACTTACACCCAATCTGGCTGACTGGTGGACTGACAAAATTCTAGGAACTTACTTCTCTTCTACTAAGTCACTACAATAATATTCCTTTAAAATGTCATCAGAACCACATATATTTCCAGAAGTAGTACGGCCTTAAAGTTGAAAGTGGTTAGCATAAGAGAAGGGTTAGCCACAGCTTAGTTATCTCATCAATAGTTAGTCTATCATCTGGCCCTGCTATCAATTACCTGTCATCAGTTAATTGTGGACAAATCACTTGTCCTTGTGTCTTAGTTGCCTCATCCCTAAAATAAAGCAAGTAGAGATGCTTACTAAGATCTATTGCAGCTACAAGGGCCTAAGAATATCTAATTCTGTGCTTAGAGGGAAAAAAGCTGGGAGAAGAGAAGCCAATATTTGAGGCCCACAGATAATCTTATTTTCTAAGAAAAAAAATTCAAACTGACATTACCTAACATGTTCCAATTACAGCTGAAAAAAATATTTCGGTGATTTAACATTTTTAATACTTTTAATTCAAAATCTAATTTTAATTTCTTTAGTCTTGGAAGGGAAGTAAACAGAAGAGAAAGGAAACTATAAAAGTAGGAAATGCAAGTATAAGTTCTGTGTGATATGTGAATATGTGTACATTCAAATATTTAAAACACCAGTTAAGATTTGCTAAAATCCAAGAACTTAGAAGCATAATGGTAAATTATGATCCCTAATTCACAAAACAATCAAGACCCTGATATGTCCATAAGTTTGAATTTATTTGCAATTATTTAAAAGATACAAAATAGAAGATAAGATCTCAGGTACCAAAACGACATATAGTGTAAAGATCTGTATATAATATGTAATTGCCTCCAGCAGACCTATTTTTTACACACAGATTAATTTGCAGAAAAAAAAAAAAAAGGTGAAGGTGTTCATTGCAACTGGTTTATAAGGAAAGGGCCAGCATCTCTTACTCTGATTAAATAGGTTACTGTTGTGAAAGTCTCTAACAGGAGACAACAGTGAGGACTATATAACCATAGGAAGCTTTAAGAGAAATTAGGAGCAATATGACTTGAAAAAGTCATATGAAAATAAAATTGGTAATTATTCACTCAAATAGGCATATTTCATAAACACTAGCTAATCTACTAAAATACTCTCTCAAGTCTACTTCAAGATGTTACTACTTCTCCATGAAGTCTTTCATAAACACTATTTCCTAGTGATCACTTCCTTCTCTGCACTCCATTCAATCCACTCAACAACTATCTAATGAGCACCTACCACATGTCAGGCACCAGAAATAGCACGGTGAACAAAACAGACAAAAATCTTCACAAAACGTATATTTTACTGAGGACTATGAACCTAACAAGATAAATAAGTAAAAGGTATAGGCATGTTAGTAGTGATAAACACTTAAGGAGAAAATGAAAAGCAGATATGAAATGTTAAGGGATTTGAAATTTTCCATTATATCTTCATTTTCTAATCATTCTACCTAAGTCCTCACTTAATGCTGTACTTGATTAAGCTTTAATTGCCTTATGTGTCATTTTTGCCCATACAGCTAAGATTATGAACAGGGCAGGGACCATGTTTCTCCACCTCTCATAATACCCATTTTAGCTGAACATATTTTAAGCCTCTGATAAATTCTGTTACTTCATTTATTAACTAAATCACAAACTTCTAGGCTTCTATCCTGTGCAAGGCATTAGGAATTAGAGAGATAAGAGAGTATCCATACTCAAAAAAGCTCACAGTTTAGTGAGAAGGAAGACATGTAGACTCCTACAATCTATTATGTTAGGTAAAAGTTTTCTACAGGTAAACTTGAAGAATTTTAAATCATCTGTAGTTGATGACCTTGAGAAGAGAAAACAGCACGCCTAGAAGCAGCATCATACGTTCAGTGACATAAAAGAGAAAAAAACATAAAACATTCAGAAAAATGTAAGTGGTTTAACATGTCTGTAGTACACAGATACCAACATACAGAAAACAGAAGATCAGGTAGAGATGCTAAAAGGCCAGATCTCCAAAATCTCTGTTTTTCATACTAGGATATTTGGATTTTTTTCCTAAAAACACTGAGAAGCTATTAATGGATTTCAAGGAGGGGAATAACACAATCAGATTCATTTAAAATCTGATAACTCTGGTGACAATAGAATGGGATGATGGCAATTCACCAGATCCCTCTGGTGACAGTGGAATAGGATGGTGGCAAGACTGAGAGACACAGCTGACAGTCAGCCTGGCAGCACTCAACAGACCATGCCTCTAAGGAACAGAAACGGTAGATGATGAGACCACTATAGGGTTTGGTGTTTTGCCAAGTTGGAGCAGCAGAGGAAAGACAGGAGTTGAAGTTATGGCAACAGTGATCCATTTCTTCACATGAAATTTTATTTCCTTTAAAGTATGACTCAAGGCTATTACAAATCTAATTTAGAATAACTGTGAATTCTGAACTCTTATTACCTGTTCTAATGTCTCTTTTCATTTTTAGTTGTTTACCTTCTAGGTTAATTCAGCACATGTGATCATTTTAACTCAAATTAGCTGGCCTATATTTATTTTAAAATATTCAACTTGCTAAAAAAGGTTTGTGCCTAAAATTATAATGGTTTCAAAGGCAACTGCTACTAATATTGTTCTCCTTTGCTTATATTTTAGATACTTTCTTTAGCTACCCCAAATGCCCCAGTGCACATCAGGTACTCCATACTAGTACATCTTCCTCATCTAAAGAGAATTCATTCACTAATTTAAACATGATATGGAGTGCCTATAATATGTCAGGCTCTGTGCTTGGTGCTGGGCACACAAGGCAACAACTAAGACAAATGTTCTCCCCTCAGTGCCCTCACCTTGTGTTAAATGCAACATGGTGTGATATAGCTTTTGAGTATTATATGCTAATATATTATATTGTTAACAGCAGCACTTTGCACTGAGGGAAAAGGAACCAGTTGCAACAGAATGAGACCTAACCCAAGTCAGTTATCAACACCATTATTAAATTCCACTTTGTTTTCCTGTAACTAGAGCCAAATGCTCAGTATGGTTCTACAGAAATAAAGTAAAATGAATTAAAGTTATTTCACCCATTAAGAAATATCTACTACAGGCTGGGCACAGTGGCTCACGCCTGTAATCCCAGCACTTTGGGAAGCTGAGGCAGGCGGATCACCTGAGATCAGGAGTTCGTGACCAGCCTGGACAACATGGCGAAACTTCATCTCTATGAAAAATACAAAAATTAGCCGGGCATAGTGGCACGCTCCTGTAGTCCCAGCTACTTGGGAGGCTGAGGCAGGAGAATTGTTTGAACTTGGGAGGCAGAGGTTGCAGTCAGCCAAGATCATGCCACTGCACTCCACCCTTGGTAACAGAGTGAGACTCCGTCTCAAAAAATATATATAAATAAAAAATAAAAAAGGAAGAAAATTATCTACTACATTCTAGAAACCAATACTATTTTATCTTCATAATTTATTCCCTGCAACCCTGTATGGGGCAGATAATATCTCTATTTTCCAGATGAGGAAATAAGACTCATGAGTAACTTGCTTAAGATCACACTACTAGAAATAACAACTGGGATTCTAAGTATTCACAACTCCAAATCCATGTCCAAGTGTCAGTATAACGAACATAAATGGGTCAGTGTCACCAGCATCAGAGAATTAAGTATCGCTATCATAGATATTGCCAGGACCTGGCTGAGAAGCTGACTGCACCAAGAAGCATAAATGTGCCCCGTGGAAGGAGATCATCAGACACTTGTGGAATACTACTCTCAACCTAGAATACATATCTATATGTCCTGCCTTACTTTTCCTTTAGATAATCTATCTCCAATTCACACTCCCCTTGAACAAACCATTATATTAAGTATATTATATTGTATCATAACTTTTGTATCATAACATAAACTTAACTATTGTATCATAAACTTGATTGAGAACAAGCACTGTATTTTTTATTCTCAGTATCTACCACAGTGACATATTTGTCAAATGGTTAAGTATATGTAAATATTAGAAGCCAAATGAATTAGCTTCTAAATACAATTCATTTATGTAGCAAATATCTAAATGGCAGAGTCTAGGGTACCTTTTGTGTACCCAGGTAAAAATAAATGAAATTAAAGATGGCAGATGCAA